ATGTTAGCTGCTCTTGTCCAGTGAGATTAGGTAGCATTCACCTTTAATTACTACAGAATTGCTAGAGCTTCATTGCAGTTCCCATATTTTGTCTAAGGAATCTTTCATGAAGGCTCAGCGACTTTCTAGGAAATTCTGTGAACTATAGGGAACTGTAGTGAATTTTAGGAAAGTTAAAGACGTTCCTCAAAAGAATCAGAGAAGTTAAACAACCTTCAGAGAAGTTCATTGATCTCAGTTCAGGAAAATTCTTCAAACTTTAAAGATGTGCTTCGATCTTCAGAGAAGCTCTATTAACTCCAGGAAAATTCTGCCAACTTCAGGTACGTTTTGTGAGCTTCAGAAGAGTTCAATGTCCTTCTGATAAGTTCTACGACTCACGAGACTCAGAGACGTTCTGAGAACTTTAAAAAAAAGTGCTTAGAACATCAGAAAAAAAATGAAGAATTTCATCGAAGTTCAACGAAATCAATGAAAAACCAAATGAATTTGAATGTATTTAACTTCTATAAGCTGTCTCATCGGGTCGTTGGTGGAACAACTCCTACTTCATGTCTTAGAAAACAGGTATGACAGAGAGAATTTGTTGCGATATCTCTTTCTCTTTTGCACTTCCTTTATGAAATGTGATCAACGGCATGAGCAGGGTGGCAGCAGGGTGGCAGCATGGCGGGATGTGCTGTCAAATCGGCATACTGAAAGTCCATCAAAGAGATGTAAGGCTCAGTGAATTTGTTATCTCTTTCGTTCTCCCGCTGTTTAAACGGTTTAAGGAGTGTGACGTCAAACTAACTTCATCCATTTAATCAGCCCGAGAACGAAAGAGACGACAAATTTACGGGGCCTCACCTGTTTACGCTCATTGGTTTGCCATATGGGAATTTGGTTCCAAACATCAACAAACCATCGTTGCTTATGGCTTTGTTGTCGTTTGGAACCATTTATGCGAGGTAGGCGATGATTGTTCGTATTTGACAGTCACCTCCCCCCAGGGTCGAGGGGCGTAAAAATGAGAGTTCGCCACCTACAAAATATCCTGAGTACGGTTCACGCATGTTACATTACCGTTTACCAGTATAAACAAATTGATTAGTTTATGAAAATTGAGGGTCACAGATATCCAGAAAAAAGATGTTAACAAGCCGTTTAAACCATGTTGACTGTCGAATTGTGTGAGTGTGTAGATATTAATAAGAATAAAGCATCACATTACAAAAAAAACAAATTCATAAAAATATGTCAATCATGCAAGGGGTAGGTCACTCCAAACACCAATCTTGGGTCATCTTTTTTGTCAGTGTGCCGCAGGTGTGCCGATTTTTGCCGGTCATAGAGTAATCTGTGGTTGTTTGTAAAATACCCATCCCGGCAACCCGGTATTTCTGACGCCTTGAATGTTTTGGTTTGAAATCGCAAGGATAAATCGTTGTTGGAGACCGACTATAGAAGAGGATGATGAATATGACTTCTGTAGTTTGTTTTGTGTGAGTTGCAGCATTATTTGAATTAAGGGTACTAATGGGTACTGATTAACTGCCTCTTTCTCTTGAGCCCAGTCTAGAACCTACATTTCGTATTTAGATCTATAAGTAAACCAAGAATTGAACTGCTGGTCTGAGTTCCTCTGGTATATTCAATTAGAGGTTTTTCCTGAATATACAGTAAACAGCACGTTATGTTGTGAACAACTTCAATGACAGTTGTCCGTCAGTGCTCCTAATTTATTTACAACAATCCAATGCCTACGAGATTGTGCCGACGGATGTGCCCAAGCTGTGCCGAATCTAATTTCGACACTATGTACTGAGTGACCTACCCCTTGAAATCATTTCTGACGCAAAAGAACCTGGGGAACGTCATGCATGTAGTGAAAACCGGAAACTTCATAATTGCTCCGCGTTGGCAGATGAAAGTAAGGATCACTTTGTTGCCAAAAGCATTAGAGAGTTAGCAAGCAAAAAACTAGCCGTGGTTAGTTTTTCAAACGTCACTGGAAGACCAGTGGGCTTAAATTTAAAACAATCAGGTAAAAAATCTCTCACGAAGATTTACTCAGCTGTAAGAAAGATCTTAATTCGAGTGTTAATAAGGTCAGTATGTACATAACTTTACACTATATTTTTCTTATGTTACATACGCTAAAATTGGCTAAACGTATGAGACATACCGACCGTCAAACTATCCAGCCCGGTCTCAAATCAGCTATGACGAAAGGCAACGCGGCCAATAATGATCCCAATAACGCTTCAAATTCTGTGACTGCTGCAAAAGCGACTCAACATGCGCAATTTGGATTCGCTGGTCGCCATTGTAGGTGCTTGATAAACGTGTAGTTTTGGCAATGCAATTTTGATCATCATTTGATGGTTTTGGATAATAAGGATGCCATGATGAGACATTGTTTTGGTGATGAACTCATGGATGAGTGCATAGGTCTTTTTTGTGAAAGCTGGTCTACCGAAACCTTCCGGTAGCCCCAAAATTCATTATTGTTAAACATCACATAATAGAGGTTTGCAAGAGTACAGGAAAAGTCTTAGCCTGGTTCACGAAAAAAACAAACGAAGCTGTTCATTATGATTCCCAAACTTGGAGTATCTATAAAGCAGTGGAAAATAATTTCAAATACGACAAAAACTTGATGAAAGCGGTGGTATCGTATAGTAGTGCTCATTTGAAGTAATCTCCTTATCTTGGAAGCTCCAAGTTTTTTTTATCATTCTCTTTAGATATTTATTTAAGCATTGATAAGAATGGATGAAACAGATGGAACTGATAATTATAGTAAATTTAGAGAATAAACCATTGTAAAATATTTTAGCATTTTAAACATTATGAGTTCACGACAAAGTTACGACATCTTACGGTATCGAAGAGGAAATCTTACTGTACCATTGAAACGAAGTATTTTGACTACCTTAATCTCCAACAATCATATTCAGCTGTATTTGTTTCGATCCGTAACAGTCTTGTATCGTCAATAGTCCATATACGCCTTCATAAACGACTAAGTATACTTCAAAATACTTTTTCTAAATAAACCCAAGATGAAATATTTTCAAACCATCACTGATTTGATTGTTAAGATCCATTCTAACTTCCTGTGATGAAAAAACTGAGGTACATGAATGTTGCAAAAAAAGTGCCTTCAGACATAGCGTGTGGCGTAAGTGTTCGAAAATTTAAATCTTATTCCAATATACCTTGTTATGTTGTTTTTTCTTTTAATTCTACTATTATTGTATCACTTTCATTTTCACTAATTCACTATTCACTAATTCACTATTCACTTGCACTATCACTTTGAAAAAAAAAACTTCAATTATGTTATAGTTTTCTAGAGTGATAGTGAAAATGAATAGTGAATTAGTGAAAGTGATACAGTAGTAGTAAAATTGAAAGGAAAACCAACGTAATAACAATTATACAATTATTGTGCAAAATCGCTCATCAATCAATGTATTGTTGTTTATTAATTTATTTGATAAGGCTCAATCGAATTAACTTTGCAGAGCCGAGGATTCTTGTTCACTATACAATACATCTTAGAACTATAATAAAAAGGTACAACACAATAAACAGTTTATCTTCCGCAATCCTCCATCAGAACGGGATCCGCTTCCAGTGGTTTCATTGTATGACAGTATCGCCAACGGGGGGCAAAGTGCTTCCATTGTAGCAATGGATGCAAAACGTGGTCAGCACTCATACACTCATCACGAAACGGTTGCTTTCCAAAGTCGACGACGCATCGACCGAAAGAACTGCTGATGAAGAACAATAAGGTTGCTGCCGAGTAAACAGACGATCGCGTGACACACAGCCGAGTGAACACTCAGCAATCAATCAATTTATATTAAACTTATTCTGATATATCTGGACTTCGTTTATAAACCTGAAATCGAACTCACTGCTGCTACAAAAATAAAAATTCATCAAACCCCGGCAGCAAAACATCAAGCGTCATGTTCTCCCATGAACATTCAATCAATCGCCATCGTCACCTCATTCGCTGTTTATTCTTACTACTGATAACGATGTTCATATTGTTACATTACTTCTGTATTATTTTGGATTTCCATGCACATCAAACTATTTTTTTCGCATATTTGAACTAAACTTATAAGTTATAGTAAAACCACTGGTTTGCCACAACCTGTAAAGTTTATTAAATCTTAATTGGATTGTACACGCTGACATCTGTATTTAGGAAAATGAAAAGAAACGTTTATAAATAGAAAAAAAAAAACATCTCAAACTTGTTGCAATAAAACCTTGTCCGTAAGCTTAAGATGTACATTGTTAAAAAATGTAGACACAATTTTTGACCGACAAACAATTTATCAAAAAGCGCTACTGGACGGTTTTGTATGACGAAGATTAAAAAAACAAAAATTAATTGTCCCCATTGCCGATGGTAATTTTAGCAAAGGAAAACAAACCACAATGTTGTAAAACAGTAGCGAATAGAACGCATTAATTGCACACTGGATTCCAGCTGCAAGAACATTTCGAATACACAAACACACTAACCAATAAGGGCAGTCTACGCATACATACAAACCGTAATTATATGGATGATCCACACATTGTAAAGCATGAAGACACTCATGCATAATGTATGGTGAAAAATTTCGATAAAAAAATAATGGAGAAGATAAAGTTTGTAGGCTTCTAGTACTGTAAGATTAAGACCCACAAAGTAGCGAAAATTATAACTTATTTTACGATACAGAGAAATAGAAGAAGATTATGCAATGTAAAATTAAAAATAAAACAAAAAATAACAATTCAAGAAACACCCACACACACACAAAAGTCGATCGGATTCGGCTGCGCAACAAATAGAATAACAATATAGCGATAAGAAAGTGTACATTTCATTGACCTTAAAGTCGTTTTGTTTAACAGTATGAAAGCTATATCATTGAATAAATGTGTTTTATAGAAAAATTAACAACTGACTGGTTTCATTTTCGGCATCTTCATAGACAATAGAGTTGTTTTTTGGCGTTTTATTCAATAAATATAAAATCAATACAGTTTGCAAAAATCTTCCGATTCAACTGATGACATTCTTCTTGGTCCAACCTAAACTGGCAGTCGTAAATGGTTCCCTAAGTCAAAACAAAAATCTCTCTTACATTCTAGAATGCGCCCTAAAGTAAACTTACAAGAAAATTTGTATCCGTTCTTCATTCACAAAACAATGTGCCCTTTTGTCGCAGGTCACGCAGGCGATGAAGTCACATGCGATGTGATTGGAATTTCGAAAGTCTCCCATCTGAAAGCAGCTCCCACCTAGATACGTTCTAGATACGCAGTCCCGGGTTGGTGTACTTGACGTACTTCAGCAGGGCGTCGTTCTCTTCGCACACCCACGGTTTCACGTGATGGCAGGCGACGTCGTGCCAGTGCACGCCATCGTTGTAGAAGTTGTTCAGAATGGCCAGGCAGTTTTCGGGAGCTCCACCCTGCTGCAGTTCACGGTTGTCCGGTTGCGGCTTGCCGATTCCACCCTGCTCGGACCAGTCGTTCTGGTTGCGCACGTTGGCCGGGGCCAGCTTCTGCAGCTCGGCGGTCCAGAACCACCCGTTGACGGACACCGGTTGCAGATCCGGGCGGTCGCAGCCCTTGAAGTCGCACTGGCGGCCACTGGTCCAGATGTATTTTTGCTGGAATGAGGGGAAAACGACGGTTGAATTAATGGTGGCAATTTGAGGAAAATGCTTTTTTTTTCAGTTGAAAAGCAGCAACGCAGCTTGTAATCAAGGTTGTCTGCTGTCGATGGGAAATTAACTTCTTTTTTCTCGGAGCATAGTTTACTCCGACATTTAACGTTCAGTGCAGTCGTTAAACGATAGGAGTAACTTTTACCTCTACGGGTGATGCGATCATGAAAAAGAAATTTTCACCAAATCAAAAGGTTGCGCTTAACATGAAATTACCCCCAAGGTCCCATTATGTGCAAATAACTTAGGCAGAGTTCAGCGTGCTACTGTTTGCAACAAGTCAGCATATAGTAAAATAAATTTGCCACAGTTACCCACGATCGCATAATGAAGTTTAGATTAATTAAAGAGATAAGAAGACACCGAGACGGTTTCTGCTTTCAATTTTACCACAACAGTTTTTGTTTTTCGTTTAAAAGTATAAGTGTACCAATTTAGAATATACTTACCTAGCATACAAGCTTTCTTATTTTGGTGTATAGATCATTGCACGGAAGTAGGGGAAATGGCTCTAATGTTGGCCTACGGATCTAAGATTGGGCCCATCGCTAAAAATCTGCTGTTTATCAATTTTATCTAGATGAACGCGTCATTGGCACGGTACTAAAGTTCTGTCCAGTTAGAATCCAGAATCACTTATTGTGTTGCATCGGCACGGAAAGTGACCGCTGCAAGAATTATTTTACAGCGGTTTGTTTACCTAGGCGCCCACTTTCTGTGGTATAAATTTCACGGTGTTTCGTGCAGTGAGTCAAAAATTATTATGATTTGGCAAGGGATATGCAGCTGCGGAGCAAAGAACGAAGTGTTCGTGACGAATAAGACGATGGACTCGAAGCTGTACAAGCAAGAATGCCTCAAAAACCGCGTACTACCGTTCATTTTAGCTCATAATGGTCCCGTGAAGTTTTGACCAGATTTGGCGAGTTGCCACTACAGCCGGGAAGTCATCCAGTGGTACCGCGATAATAACGTAGATTTCATCGATAAAAACATAAATCCACCCAACTGCCCGCAGTTCCGGCCCATCGAGAGATTTTGGGCAATAATGAAGCGGAAGCTTAAAAGAAGTGGAAAAACGGCTCGGGACGCGATTCAGATGACCAAAATGTGAAACAAATGTGCCAAGGAAGTTGTCTCCGGAGGTGTGCAGCGTTTGATGGGAGGAATAAAGCAGAAAGAGCGAATTTTCATTAAAAACGAAGAGAATTGATTTGTATTGCTATTTTTTCCTAAAAGTACAGTGAATTACCTTTGTTTTGATGTATTAACCTTATTTGTACGTCAATCCGTTACCGAGATACAGATCATTTTATTATTCCAGATTCTAAATGGACATAGCTTTAATTGATATTTTTGGACGCCATTGAAAATTTAGCCGATTGCTGAATTTATGTATGGGCCCAAATTAGGGGCATTTAGGCCGACATTACATCCATTTCCCCTATTTAATGTTATTTTTTGACAGTTCGGAAAGTTTGTTTGCAAGGTGTTATAATTTGAAACGAAATAGCGAAACTTGTGCAACTGCTTTTCAAATTGGAGCAGTTCCACGCCAAATGACGGATCGGTAAAACTCGACCTTCTTCGATTTGCATGAAACTTTGCAAATTGTTTGTTATGGGCAATGATTCACATTGTTGCTAAAATTCCGCCATTTTGGATCTGGTATAATTTACAAAATGGCGTCTTTGAAATTTTTCAAATAATAGAAGCATGGAAACGGCACTTCTGATCGGAATGACGTCTGAGACAAAGTTGTAGAGAATTATGTTTTATTGGAAAATGTACTAACCATTTTTTTTAGTTAAATCAAATAAAAATTAAAAATTAAGAAAGTTAAAAAACCTAAATATCAAAACATGGCCAGGCCGATTGTTTATTTTTTTTTTCTAAAAAGCTATTTAAAATTCAAACTTTAGTGACTTTAGAACAAGAACCTCATTTCCTCCTCATCTATCGTATAAAATGACCACTTTAAGCTTGATATTTAACGTTGAGCACCTCCAACTATGTAATTTTCATTGATTTTCATGCATAAAACATAATTTTAAGTGCAGAAATCCCTTCCAATGCATAAATCACGCGAAAAGTTCGCTCTTTTGTTAAGTTTTTAAATAAATATAATTAAACAATTCTTAAAAATAAACTTTTTTTACAATTAAAATGATTAGCAGTTTCATTCATTTTTTGTTGAGTTATTTATTTATTTTTTTCAATATGTATTTTCTTTTTAAGAAGGCAAACCAATTTCACACAACTTTGTCTAAGACGTCATTTAGATTAGATGAGCCGTTTTTGTACTATGATTTATTGAAAAATATAGAATACCCCATTATGAAAAAATAGGCGAGAATCACAATGGCAGAATTCCGGCATGGGCGGAATTTCATGGAATTCGGAGATCTTTATATAATTCCTGATCAACTTGCCGTATGAGAGACGACATTCAATGACATCGAACAGATGCAAATCTTCAGAATAATACTTGATCATCCTAAAGTCGTGGAAAAAATACCTGAGGAATTCATTGATATCTTACTGAAAACCCGTATATCAACAAAGTTTTTCAAATTCCACGCAGTTTCCTGAACTTCGACGAATTTTCCTATAATTCCACAAAGTTTATTAAATTTAAACTCAGTTCACTGAACTGAAACGTAGCTCCCTGAACTTGTGGAAAGCCCCGCAAGCTCCTGGGAGCTCTTTGTACTTCAAGATGTTTTCATTGTCAATACAACTGAATTTCTAATAAGCTTGCTGGACTTGAACGATTTTCCCATAAATCAGAAAATGTTCTATGAACTTATTCCAAGTACTAGAATTTTTTTTACAAGCTCTCAAAACCCAAACAGGATCTCATAACGTCCATGAACTTCTACAAACTTCTGGGAAGACTCTAAACCTTTACAACAAATTATCCTGAAGATCTGCGCGAAACTAAGTTCCCAAAGCTTCCAGGCTGTTTATTTTTTTGTTTTTATAATGTGTTTATTTTTCCAGGCTTATTTTCCGGAGCTTTGCGGAGCCGATATTGATTGTTTAGATTATTCCTTACATTCTCTTCAACGCTTCGCTCGCCCCATCACTTCGCTATAACTATGAAATTGGCCTTCCTCTAGACCTGAGGTCATTCCAAAATTTCCATTCCACATAATTTCACACACTTCTACTTCCTTACACTACTTTTGACACTTTTTTCATCCACACATACTCATGCATCCCGCAGTGCAACGTATACTCAAGCACCCTTTTCTACTCTTCTTTACTGACTAGGCTATTTTAGGCCCCAAACAACAACACTAAATCAATTAATTTGCTACAAAGTTTGATGCATTTGTGCGGTATACAGTCATGAGCTTAAGAAAGTATGAAATGAGCTGTATTGATGATTCGGTAGAAATGTATACGGAACTAAAGTCGACGTACACTCTATGTCGATTTGTTCAAAGTAGGGTATGCTTCGTACATTTGAAAACCCAGAACTCGTGGCCTTTCATTTCCAGGAGCTTCAAGAGGTAAGTAATAATTCAGCGTCAAGCTACAGCGTTGAACCAACAATAAATACGAAACTAACGATTTTAAATTGGCTCACCACTTTAGTAGCCTATTGGTCCCAAGCAAACGATTAACGTACCCTATTCTAGTTGAAATTCTATTACTACACTATGTTTGTTTTGATTCGCTATGAAAGTTTGACAGATAACATCAGGGGTGTGTGGATTCATGCAAAACATGCAGGGGTGAGTGAAATAGCTTGGGACTGCTTGGGACCGTTGTTCTGGTACTGAGTGAGCCAAAAATAATAATGATTTTCTTCGGGACCCAGTGGTCTTAGAGTTACCTCTATGGTTGAACCAGGTGGAAATTCACAGCATTGTACAAATTTATCTAATCTTTTGAAAGAATGTCCATCTACAAAGTGCTCAAAAGCTCAACGAAGTTTGCTAAACTTTTACAAAGCTAGTCAGCTTAGATGCATTTCTAGTAAGTTTTCAGAACTTCTCGCACTTTCCTGAACTTTCTGAAGTTCTACGAATTATCCTGAAGATCTATGAAGTTTCTTGAAGTTCTACAACGGTACCCGAACTTCTTCGAAGCTCTCTACCTTCAAATGATGTTATCTAAACTTCTTTGACCTACCTTTGACTTCTAAAAAGTTCCCTGCCATAGTTTTATAAATCTTCACCTCGCCCACAAATTTAAAAGTAGCGGTGAAGACATGACGTCGAACTCGTTGATGATTTTTTTCTAAATACACCTGGCACCACTGCCACGAACTTGGTCTGTTCCCGTACAACATTTTCTGAGTTTGCTGTAAGAAAATCATATGCTGCAGAATGTCCGGGAATATATTTTTGCTTTTTTCTGTACAGAATCTTACCGAATAGCAAGTACGGTATCAAACTACAGACAGTCATAGTAAAAGATCTACCGAATCAGAATCAGAAAACGCTCTGGAATGTCGGCAGAATGCGAAACGCGACGTCATCGGTCAACGAAGACACGGAGTATTCGAACAGGTGGATTTTTGATTCCGCGCGTAAAGTTTGTTCTGATTCAGTGCCGGTTTTAAAACAACGTACGTAATCCTCCTTAGGGTACAAATTAAATGGACTCTCCTTTCATGCAACAATACAGCTGCGGCAATGGATGGAATCAAGTTCAACTTGCTCTAAAACCTCCCAGACGTCGCTAAGAGGCGCTTGTTGAAATTGTTCAATCATTTTCTGGAGCACAACGTTGTTCCGGATGATTGGTGGCAAGTGAGAGTTATTGCCATTCAAAAACCCGGTAAGCCCGCGTCCGAGCATAACTCGTACCGTCCCATCGCGATGCTTTCCTGCATTCGGAAGTTGTTGGAGAAAATGATTCTTCTTCGTCTGGTGTCGAGTCCGGTTTACTCTCAGATACGCAATTTCGGAGGGGCAAGGGAACGGACG